ATGCAATCAAGGAAGTTCATTTTTTAAGTATAAGTTAAAAAGACTCACGGAGAACAAGGCTGGTATTATAACAATTCGAAGGCAGTGCAACCAGCTTTTCGAATTCGATTGATTCAGAATGCGTGATTAATATTTCCCTTCACAGTACATCATTCATCAGATCGATTATTGATAACAACATTCACCATATTTACACATAAAATATCTGCTAACCTTCTTCATTTGCTCTTACTGCGCCTGTTGCATTTTTTACTCATCTTATTTTTCTTTTCATGTTTGCTTTCTTAACTTTTGCCGTTCCTCCACTATCGAGCCTTGTAATTACATGCTAAAAGCCAGTTCTAATACCCAACTACAGTGGCAGCAAGTGAAAAAAAGAGTGCGCGAGCGATCAAAAGGATGATTCTCAAGGAATCAACGATCATGTCTACAGCAACCATGAATGAGCGTTTCAGTGTTCACTTTCATTCAAAAACACAAACGATCACAAGCCTGCACAAACTGTAAATCGCTTCACTTCGACGAAGGCTGTGCANGAACCAGGCGACATGATTTTCTTTATTGGAGGTAGCTGGGTCGTCCCTGGTAACGCCGTTATCGGTTCACCGATCCACTTTGTTATGTTGGCAAGATTAGTGAGTGACCTGCGGTGACGGCATTGAATGGTGGCCATTGTTACAGCCAGTTGTTCACTTTCAACAAGATCTTTCATTCTGAGAGGTAAAGTTAGAGCCGCGTTTGAATGCTTTCGTTTTTACCATTTTTATGAATTCATCTAAGTTCTCATTTCGATAGAACGTTTAAGCGGATGAATATTGCGACATCTTCATTTTTCGATCACATATTCTACTGAATTCCATTTATGAGTTACTCTGATGCTGTTCAATCTGAATCAACCTCACCGCGATTCTTTGAACCTCGTCGAATGTTTCTTCATCATAAACGGCTAAAAAACTGTATCAACTAATTTCGAGTTCTGTCTAGTCATTCATTTGCAAAATATTGTTCATTTCGTTGTATGATATTCTCGTTTCTCTTGGAATTAATATATGAATATCGTTTTTTTTCAACTGAGTTCGATTTTTTGCTTGCACTTTTCAAGCGTTTTGCGATGCTTGGAATTGGTTTTTAATGAATTATTGGAGATTAGTTTGATGAATAAGACATGAATCAACGTCTTCCTCTATAACAACAACGTCTTTCTGTTGCACGTGATGAAATTTTAATAATGTTTTCTTTCCACATTTATTGAATATCACAACTTAAAAATTTTCAGATTCATTTATTGGATTAGCTCTTTCAAATCCTCGATACGCTATAGTATAGTTGTAAACGGATTTTTCGAATGCCCATCATTCATCGTTAGGTGCCTAATTTTCAAACAGAATCACTTCCAATCGGATGTTATTGGAATGTGTTTAATTGGGTGGTACATCGATAAGTAGTTTATGAAGTAAATATTTTGAAAGAGGGACGAGTGAATGGACGATGAATGTTGTTTTATTTGCACATAAAGCCAAACAATGAAATGAATCGTTGAAGTGTACATACCTTCAAAATACTCTCAACTCAACAACAACAACACCGCGCCATCAACTTCTTCGATCATTTAAGTTTGATGCGTTCGTTCATTCACTTCTAATCCTTGCCTATTCTCATTGGCACTGTCCAATATAATTTTCGAGTTTAGCGAGACCAATTGATTCGTTTTTTATCCGATTCGATTGCTGAGATCAAACCGGACATGACGTGACCAACTGGAAAAGTGATACATACTCTGAATGAACAGTGAAGATTTTTTACATTTGCTTTTTTTTGCAATTCATTGTGGAATGAAAGCGTTCAGTTCAACTGTGGTGGTTGATGTTTTCGATGAAAATGACGCGCATTCAAGCACTTTTTCGTAGCCAAGAAAAATTCGTTCACGATTTGAGTTTAGCGATTTCATTCATCAAGTTAGATTAGAGAATTTGTTATATGTACACTCTTTTCCAGCTGGAAGAAGGCTTGCGTTTGTTCAGATTGAATTTAAAAAATTATTTATTGTTTGGTGATTCTCATTAAAATGAAATCGAATTCTCACTCTGCACCCATCGATGCGACCAATTTATCGCCCCCAAAAAACGAATGAAAACGAAACGAATCCAATTCTCGATCCATCAAATGATTAACGCTCGCGTTATTGACGTTTCAAACTGTTTTGTATATCATCGTTTTGATGCATCGATTCCAATTCAGCAACGATGCGAATCGAATTCTTGCAATTTTAAAAATCAATTCAACTTTCAAATGTTATCGCACACGTTTCGAACCACTGAAAGAAGAAGCGTGATGAGATTCGAAGTTTCTGCGTTCAAATTAGATTCCAAACGATTTTGCATTATTCGGTAATCGTTCTTCGGAGCCCTCGAAATGCATCTGTTCATTCAGTACACAAAAGCACTCCTTTCCTCTGAATTAATAATACCACCAAGAACCTCTCTTAATTCCATTCGAATCACAATTTACTCATCCCTTCAAAAACTTTCAGCCATTCAACACTTCGATTACTCACTATATCGCTTTAACCTTTCCCTGCTTTCTTTCATTCCCACTCTACTCATCAGACATAATTTTTGTTATGATTCAAAACATGTTTCCTAAAACATTCATGATGACTCATTCATTACGCACCCATAAGCCTAAGCCACATAATATGCTCGTTTTCCGAATATTTCGCAATCAAGAATACAACCAACCGTCTTCCTA